TTATGGTATTTAGTTTCAATAACATTGTCATATTTTTAATGTGAAGATGTTCAATTTCAAAACATAATAGAACGAATACATTTATGATAAATTTAAAGAAAAACAATATTACGAATATTTATGAGTATGTTTTTTTATGAATTAATTATTGAAATTAATAATTACAGTAGTGAAAAGCGGGTTTTCGTTGGATTATCAAAACTACTGTTCATAAAATATCTGAATGCTAGTTCAGTAATTTATTATAAAGAAAAATAAATTTTTAACACAATTGTACTAATTCACATTTTATTTATGTTTTAATATTCAACGTCCATTTTTTATACGTTTACAATAATGATCGAAATAGTAATAATAAATTACTCACGTTAGAAAATCCAGCTGCTATTACTATAATCCAGCCCCAACCACCATCCGGTGGGTCAAAATTATCACTCGAATTGTCTGTATTTACTGTTCTTTCATTTTTATTCTTAGCAACTAACGATCCGTTTTTTTTTACAGACATGATTATATATTATTTAATTTTTCTTTATTACTAAATTTCACGAAACTTATACGAGAATTGTTTTTACATTAATGTTTTACAAACATAAACTTAGTAGCTAAAACAGTTGTTTAAGTGTTTTAGCTTCTTAAAATTTCAATGCAGTAATATCATTGAACATACGAAATTTCAAATTAAAACGCGCCAACTTTTCTTCTTACGAGAAACGCGTTTATTCCAGTTCTAACAGATACTTCAAATTACACGTCTCGGCACAATTATTTTATGTCGTACACTAACAGTACCTTGAAGTCTGATCGCAGTGAATAAATCGAAGAATGTGTTCCACCAAACGAAAAAACATATTAAAAAAAAATTTCTTTACTTAACCACAGAGCATGCACTTATTAAATTGTTATTTTTAGAACACGACACGTTCTGCGATACGCTTTGTTGCATTAGGAAAATAATTTTCTTTTCACTTAAAAAATGCATTAGAAGAAAATGTCGTCGGTTTTAGGATCGAAGATATAATATAATTCTTCAGACGGCCTGCGCGTTCGAGGCATGAAGAGATAAACTGGCGTGTTCACGACTGCGATTCAAGGTACTGTATTACACTTCAAAAACATTTACTCGTGGCTGATAGTATTGAGTTTAACATTTGCCAACATTCCTCAACTTCCGACTGTGCATCGTTGATGTTACATTATTCAATAGCTGTGTCAGCCAAATATTTTCTACGGTTATGTGTATGTTACGATTAAATGTCCGAGCACAATTTTATAACTTACGAAAGACTTTCGTGATATACTGTAAGATTCGTTTACACATATGGTAGTGATAACAAAGTGTTATGAAAATCTTTAGTACTTATCAGTTGATCTTTAGATTTGGTTTATTAGATCATCACTGGAAGGTATATTTCACACTTCAATGGTAAATATTTTATATCGTACATTTAAAACGTATACAAGTAGGTCACGTAAAACAGACTACCTAATTATCTTCTATAGATAGGATGGTACGAGAAAGTTTTTATATGTAATTTAAATGGTTTCAGAGAGTGATTAAGATAGAAGAACAATTTTTTTTCATGCAAGAAATGGCAAACAGTGAAACGAAATTTTATATTTGATTAAAATTTTTTGAGTCCAAGGTTATTTTAAGGTCATACTATTGTGCGTGTCTATTTAAATGCACATCAACGTCTGCTACAGCATACAGTAGAAAGAAATATATACATATATTCACGTAAAAAAACCTTATAAAAAAGTTTTTCTTCCATCTTATTTCTCCTTTAAATCCATTTAGGTTAATCTTAGAAACTGTAGTATTGTTTTAATGTCAATAAAATTGTTTCGATATTAATAAAAAGTTTTTTCTTACTATTTGTTATGTTTTCGTTGAACATATGCGAAACTAAAAACGATTTCTTCGTTTTAATCTTGAAGTGCATAATGCTCGTCAGACACTTAAGAAATTAGTCATTATCTTCGACAATTACTATTACCATATGACGGTAATAGTCTTTAAATATGAAATCTACGTATGTGTGGATGTACATGCGTGTATGCATGTGCAGAAATAGGCACAAAGCTATCTGTATCTCGCTTATTTATTCTAGAATCGTGTTTAAAAGGGGGAACCTTCGCTATAACTATAATATAATAACAGTTATTTGTATTTTATGTGTATTTCTACATATGTATACACATATAAAGTGAGATATTCAATTAACGGAAAAATAATTCATAACTGCGTCATTGTTATTGCTTTGTGCGTCTCAACGTATTGCAAGTATCCATACATAGTATCCTATTTTTTAAAAATCAGATACTCATTATTTGTCGAACCATTTTGAAGTTAAAATTTTTTTTTAAATTACGTAATACCAATAGAGTCACACGAAACTATAAAGAAAAATATCACAAATTATCTTCACGACAGTGCGGTTTTCTGAAAAGAAATGTCGAAATGTCTTAGTTTCCAAGAAATAATGCTCGATTAAAAAAACTGTTAATTTTTATGCCATAATTGACTACAACTGGTGTTTATTAAGGACTTTATAGTAATATTAAAGAAATACATAAGATAATGTTATGTGTATTTTGAATAAGGTTTTTTACGTAACCTCAGAACAACATTGCGGGGTTATTGATGATCGCATAAAATTTTAACGTTTTGAAGGTTTTAATGATAAGAAATAAACATTCTGCACATACCTGCATTAATTTTATAGCCTTCGGGATCACTGGTGACCCTATAGTATTTTGAATGTAACAAAGCTGTATTGCACACTACCAATCACTGGAAGTGTGTATGGGGTACATACACATATACATATGGGGTAAGTGACGCATTAATAAATGAAAAAGAAATTAATTTGTTCTTATGAATATATGATATTTTGAATGCAACAATATTACAACAAAAAATACATAATAACATATAATTAGTTAAAATTTGTCTAAAATTTATTAAAGGCATTACAAACAACTAATAAAATTAATAAAATTTAAACTATATGCAACTCCTTTATTCCAGTAAAACAAATAAAATATAAAATATAAAAATTACTTGCATTGGTTGAAAAATGGTTGAAATAAATATTTAATAAATATTACATATTACTTAAATTCAACTAATTAGAATAAAAACATGTTATCTTGTTAAGTTGTATTTAACATATATAAACATCAGATGTACACAATTGAATTATGATCACAAATTGGAATCTAGTCTGTACATTAAAAGAATGCATTTATTTCATTAACATTACTTGAAAAGATGAGTATTTCTAAAATTACAGACAAATCACAAAATAATTTATGAAATTTTTA